CTGTGGTAGTAGGTAGTAGACAGCAACCACCCAGGGAGGTAGGGAGGTACTATCAACCTGTGGAAGTAGGTTGGTAGACAGCAACCTCCCACAGAGGAACTACTGTACTGTGGTAGTAGGTTGGCAGACCAACCACTCACAGAGGTACTACCATCTTGTGGAAGTAGGTTGGTAGACAGCAACTGCCCAGGGAGGTACTACCATCCAGTGGTAGTAGGTTGGTAGACAGCAACTGCCCAGGGAGGTACTACCATTCTGTGGTAGTAGGTTGGTAGACAGCAACTACCCAGGGAGATACTACCATCTTGTAGTAGTAGGTTGGTAGATAGCAACTACCCAGGGAGGTACTACCATCCTGTGGTAGTAGGTTAGTAGACAGCCCAGGGAGGTACTATCAACCTGTGGAAGTAGGTTGGTAGACAACGACCACCCAGGTACATACTATCATCCTGTGGTAGTAAGCTGGTAGACAGCAACCTCCCACAGAGGTACTACTGTCCTATGGTAGTAGGTTGGTAGACCAACCACTCGCAGAGGTACTACCATCTTGTGGAAGTAGGTTGGTAGACAGCAACTGCCCAGGGAGGTACTACCATCCAGTGGTAGTAGGTTGGTAGACAGCAACTGCCCAGGGAGGTACTACCATTCTGTGGTAGTAGGTTGGTAGACAGCAACTACCCAGCGAGGTACTACCATCTTGTGGTAGTAGGTTGGTAGATAGCAACTACCCAGGTACGTACTAACATCCTGTGGTAGTAGGCTGGTAGACAGCAACCTCCCACAGAGGTACTACTGTCCTGTGGTAGTAGGTTGGTAGACCAACCACTTGCAGAGGTACTACCATCTTGTGGAAGTAGGTTGGTAGACAGCAACTGCCCAGGGAGGTACTACCATCTTGTGGTAGTAGGTTGGTAGACAGCAACTGCCCAGGAAGAAAATGCCAAAGAGGACCTTCATTACACAAGAGGAAAAGGCAATGCCAGGACACAAGCCTATGAAAGACAGGCTGACGCTAATGTTCTGTGCTAATGCTAGTGGGGATTTCAAAGTGAAGCCATTACTAGTGTACTATTCTGAAAATCCCAGAGTGTTCAGGAAAAACAATGTTATGAAGAGTAAACTGTGTGTGTTTTGGAAATCTAATAGTAAGGCATGGGTCACGAGGGAAATTTTCGTCGAGTGGTTCAATGAAGTGTTTGGCCCTAGTGTGAAGGAGTATCTCCTGGAAAAGAAATTGGATCTCAAGTACCTGCTAGTAATGGAGAATGCACCTGCTCATCCTCCAAACTTGGATGACCTAATTTTCGAGGAGTTTGGGTTCATCACAGTAAAGTTCTTGCCCCCGAATACCACTCCTCTCCTCCAGCCCATGGACCAGCAGGTCATTGCAAACTTTAAAAAACTCTACACAAAAGTAATGTTTCACAGGTGCTTGACTGTGACCACAGACACTCACTTGACCCTAAGGGAATTTTGGAGAGAACACTTCAGCATCCTCCATTGCATAACCCTTATAGGTATGGCTTGGGAGGGAGTGACTACCAGGACTTTGAACTCTGCCTGGAGAAAATTATGGCCAGATTGTGTCAACAAGAGGGATTTTGAAGGGTTTGGGACTGACCCTGATGAGCCTATGTCTGTTGTAAAATCAATTGTGGCACTGGGGAGTTCCATGGGGTTGGATGTGAGTTTGGAGGATGTGGAAGAATTGGTGGAAGACCACAATGAAGAGCTCACCACTGAGGAGCTGCAAGAGCTTCAGCAGGAAGAGCAACAGATCGCAGCTCAGAATCTTGCTGCAGAGGAGGAGGAAGAGAGATGGAAGAAGGTGCCTTCTTCAGAAATTAAGGAGATTTTTGCAATGTGGGGTAAGATGGAAAGATTTATGGAGAAACATCACCCTAACAAGGTTGTTGCAAGCCATGTTGGCAACATGTACAGTGACAAAGTCTTGGCCATTTTAGGAAGTGTTAAAGAGACGCCAGAAACAGAGCCCCCTGGACATTTTTTTTGCGAGACAGGACTCCAGTGACTCTCAAGGGGGTCCTGTGGCATTAAAAACAGGAAGAAAGCAACCCCGAAAGCAATTGGTACCTGGTTTTTGCGGGAAGGGGGACCCCCCTTCCAAACTATAAACAACCACTCTCTCCCCTCCTCCAGCTCCCAAACACAAAGAAGAACTCCAATAAGGAATTTATGCTGTTAATGTTTCATTCACATTTCCCATTGCTTTTTATGTACACATGTATATTTCATGTAAAATTTTTTTTTTTTTAATACTTCGGGGTGTCGGGAAGGGTTAATTGTATTACATTATTTCTTAGGGGGAAAATGATTCCAAACGAAATTTCTTTTATATACTCCTCCAACGGATTAATTATGAAAAACAGGGACCACTGTAACCTATTGGACAATTTTTGGGGTTTGGGCTGTCCTTCCCTAACACGAGGGCCCGGAGTTTTTAGACTCTCTGATCGGGGGTTCTACCCCCCGTTTTAGGGTTTTTTCAACATTTTAAACCAGAAGAATCAAAGCAGGGCGGGAAAAAGGAAAGAAGCCTTCTCAAAACGGGAAAAGTATTTTCACCAGTGCCAATAAACCCGGGCTGGATGAATAGGGGCACGGGCTCCACCCAGAAAAGCATGGTTGACCAGCAAGCCCCGGGATGACCGGGCCCAGGGCCGGGGCTCAAGAGTAAGAAACTTTTGAACCTTCAAAGGTTTTTAAAAAAGGGTATCAGCTCTGGGGCGATACCTTTTTTTAATGCAGATGAACGGGTTTAAATTTCGGGAAAGATTAACTGAGAACACACGCACGAGCCTGGCCCAGGGCCCGGGTCAGAGAGTAATATATTCTCCAAATTCTTCAAAGGGTATATAAAAGGTATATATCAGAAAACAAAAAATTTTTCCTTACCAAAGGCTACAAAAGATCTTTTTTAGCTTGCTTTTTTGTATAATGCTCACATTAGGTTGACTCACTTTCTTCACTAAGGGGGTAAAAAACACACTTTTTCTGAAGAATTATCAGTCACTGAAAACCTTGCATTCGGGTGTTTCCTCCCTTGATAATTTTTTTGTCTCATCGGGTTTTTCCTCACCCTTGAAAATTTGTTGTAGTCATCCTCAGTTGTTCCTTGTCCTTGATAATTTTTGTAGTTGTCCTCGGGGTGTTCCCTTGTCCTTGAAAATTGTTGTAGTCACCTCAGGGTTTTCCCCTCACCTTGATAACTTTTGATCATCACACAGTTTCCCTTCCTTGAAAAATTTACAGCACCTCAGGTGTTCCCATCCTTGAAAATTGTAGCACCCCACCCAACTCCTGGAGGAGGGGAGCCGGGTGTCATGATTTTTTTTTACCACCCATATGACATACTTGAAAAAAACCACGATCAGAGAGTTATAAAAAATTAAAGGCCACACAGGGGCAGCATTTTTGCGAAACTAGTGACAAAAAAATTTAACATTTCTGCATTTTGGGGTCAATTTCAACCACTTACATTTCAGAACCATCAAATCATCTCTATTTCTGTAAAATCTTCCTTATAAAATTGACACCAAAAACTAGGAATACAACCAAAGAAAAAGGAAAATACACGGAAGAACCAGTTTTAACCCTTTGAGGGCCCATCCCATGTTCTATGGCTTGAGGCCCAAGTAAAACCAATTTCTACCCCAATGAGCTCCTCACTCAGATAAGCGGATGGTAAATTTGGGCCTGTATGAAAAATTCATCTGTGTGGTAAATGGCATCAAAAAAAACAAATCTTGCAGCACCCGCAGTGCTAAGGGAAAAAACTGAGATCGGTTTTTTTATTTTAAAAAGTGACTTTGCGGTGTATTTTCAAGTTTTTTGGTTTTTGCAGTTTCTTGTCCATTTGATAAATGGAAGATATTTACAAAAACAGAATATTTTAATTTTTTTTAGTACTAAAAATAGTTTTAAATTGAGCTGAAAGAGCAGAAATGATCGATTTCTGCCAAATTTCAAGATAAAAAAAATAAATTATACATCCCAAAACACGAACTGGTGGGTCAAAAAGCTTTTATGAATGACTGATAAAATTTTTTATACAAACATTACAAAATTGCATAAGAGTAAAGCTATCTTTTATGGGAAAAAAAAAATCGAAAATTCATTTGTAAAGCCTGAAAATGTAAAAAAAGCAAAGGAAAACATTTTAGTGCCAGGAATGTCTGCATTGTTTTTCTGGGACCCTTTTTTTAAAACTGGGAAAATTTTGAACTCAGTGTGAAATTGGCCAAAAACCAAATTTCCCCAAACACTTTATTGGGGAGTTGAAATAGCTGATTGGGGGGATTACTTGGCTCATTTGATAAAATCTAATAAAACAGTGAAAAAGCAAGAATTTTTCAATTTGGAATATGTAATTGGCCTAAAAACGGTCAAAGCCGCCAAATCGCCGATGCGAAATATCACTGACGCAGCAAAATTTGCAGTTGATTTCAAACGATTTTTTTCTCAAATTTGTACTTTTTTTTTATCTTTAAAAAAAGATTCTCTACATTTTAAAAGAAAAAAAAAAAAATTTGAGGGAAAATTTTTGGGCCCTGGGTTTTCGCGGAAAACCCCAAAGGTTTTTAAAACCCAAAAAAAAGGTCACATTTTTTCTCATTAGCACTGCATGCTGCAGGATTTTTATATGGTGCACCCACCCATAGATGCATCTCTCATACTAGGCCCAAATTTTACCACCACAGCTTCGAGTGAGCTGAGTTCAGGTGTAGTACAATAGGACGGAACCCAGCTTCAAGACATAGTCAATGGGACCAACACCGAAAGGGGGAATAAGGAAGAAAATACCTCAACAACATACAACAGAGGGAAAAAAAATAAATCCCCCTTTCACTTTACATAGCTGTACAAAAACTTATCATTACCTTATAGAAAGTCTTGCTGTCAAGCACAAGTTTAAAGGGGGGGGTTTTAGGGGCGCACTCGAGATGATATGGATCCAGTTTTATTTTTTTACTGACAGTTTAAATATGGTCATGATGAGCTGAAAAAGGCGCAGCAGACAAAACCCCTGCCATTTTCACAACTTGTACAAAACTGCTGACCTCATTCATTTCACCACCTGATAAAAAAAACTAAGTTTCAGTAGTGTAGCCATATTGTACTTTAAGACAAACAGATAATTGTACATCTATGGTAAAATGCACACACTTTAACCCCTTGACTGTCGCAACCCTCAATCCTGAGGTGTCTCCAGGTGTCGCAAAATTAAAAAAAAAAATTTTTTTTTTTCTTATGAAATGACAGAGAATCTTTCCCCAATTGTAATGACACAAAAAAAAACGAAATTTGATGAAAAACTGACGAAATTACGCTCTCGTGAAGTTAGCGACCTCGGCAATATTTACAAACGGCGATTTCGCCCACTGTGTGCCCTATTTTCGGCTAATTCCATTGTTTCAGTCGACACCAAACTCATAGCTATTTCTTTAGAACTGCATTTTTTCTATCGATTGAGTATAAGAAACTGTCCATTTACCGATTTCAACTACCCAATAACGTGGTCAGAAATTTGCAATTTGGCCAATTTCACGAAATTGAAAAAATATGACAATCTCAAAATTGGGTCCAGAATGAACAATGCAGACATTCCTGGTTCTAAAATAACATTTTCTTTGTTCATCAGTCACATCTCCAGGCCCCTCTGATATTACTCTTGCTTTCTATTTTGAACTTTTATTCAAACAAAACATAGAAGATTTATTGTTATGCAGACTACTGCAATACTGTAAAAAATTGTAAAAAAAATGTCAACCATTCATGACTGCATATTAAAATGCTAGTTGGACATTTATTGGACAATGACATCTTTTGTTTACTTTGAACATTGGCAAAAATCAAACATTTCCCCTAATTTGAGCTCCATTTCCAGGTTCTTTTTATAGTAAAACCAATCAAAATCACCTCTATTTCTATAATATGTTTTCCATTCTATCAAATGAGACCAACAAAACAAGAATACAACCATAAATACTATAGGAAAATAGACCACAAATTCGGCATTTTAATTAAAAAAATGATCAGTTTTTTTTTCCTCATTATGCATTGCGTGCTCCAGGATTTTTTTTATATGGTGCACACTGACCACACAGACCCATTCTCTCACCTGTGGGCCTACCAGCTTCCTCCTGCTTGATTTGAAGCCGCTAGAATTTATGAGTATATATACGTCAAACACGGTACCTCGTAAGACGTACAGGTCTCCCTCAACATTCGCGAGGGTTAGGGGATCAAGAGCCTCGTGAATGTTGAAAAACCGTGAATGTTTGGTGCCCCAATATATTGTAGGGAAATATAATACAATGCTGCTTCCTTAACTTGTCCAACCATGAACAATCATAAAGTACATGAAAACGTCGTAAATTGTACTAAATACATACGTTATGCCTTAATAACATGTATGTTATTAAATACCACTGCCTCAACCAATGCGAGTCCCTACTACCCTCCCTCCGACCCCCCACAATGGCAGCCAAGCCCTCCCACCACTGTGTGGTGAGAGTTTTGTTTGGGCATTATTTGCTATTAAACACAGTTAAAAAATAATGTAAACCCATCCATGACTGCATATTAGAATGGCTATTCAGGGCAGGTATTGGGAGGTGACACCAATGTGTTTACTCTTGAACACTGCAAAGAATCAAAAATTTCTGCTACTGCTATAATAATAATAATAATAATAATAATAATATAATAATATAAAATATAATAATAATAATAATAATAATAAAAATAATATAATAATTTAAAAAAAATAATAAAATAATATAATAATAATAATAATAATATAATAAAAAAATAATAATAATAATAATAATAATAATAATAATAAAAATAATAATATAATAATAATAATAATAATAATAATAAATACGATAAAATTGAAGAAGGAAATTGTACAAAAATACGAGGGTTGAAGCAGTGGTGAAGGAAGTGGTTGACACATCGTCAGTGTGGCTTTGTTTATGCTGGAGTGAGTATTAGTCTCCGTGCTCTTCCAAACATTTCACAATAATTCATTGTACAGTGGACCCCCGCATACCGTACGCATCGCATACCGTACAATCCGCATACCGGTCGCTTTGATCGCAAAATTTTGCCTCGCATACCGCCCAAAAACCCGCTCACCGCCCTTCGTCCGAGACGCGTCCAATGTGCGGCCTGAGCCAGCCTCATATGTTCCGCCGGTGGCATTGTTTACCAGCCAGCCTCCGCGGTAACATCCAAGCATACAATCGGAATATTTCGTATTATTACAGTGTTTTCGGTGCCGTATCTGGAAAATAAGTGACCATGGGCCCCAAGAAAGCTTCTAGTTCCAACCCTACAGCAATAAGGGTGAGAATTCCAATAGAGATGAAGAAAGAGATCATTGATAAGTATGAAAGTGGAGTGCGTGTCGCCGACCTGGTCAGGTTGTACAAGAAACCCAAATCAACCATCTCTACTATTGTGGGCAACAGAAAGGCAATCAAGGAAGCTGTTCTTGCCAAAGGTTTAACTGTGTTTTCGAAACAGAGATCGCAAGTGATGGAAGATGTTGAGAGACTCTTATTGGTGTGGATAAATGAAAAACAGCTAGCAGGAGATAGCGTCTCTCAAGCGATCATAAGCGAAAAGGCTAGGAAGTTGCATGAGGATTTAATTAAAAAAATGCCTGCAACTAGTGATGATGTGAGTGAATTTAAGGCCAGCAAAGGTTGGTTTGAGAGATTTAAGAAGCGTAGTGGCATACATAGTGTGATAAGGCATGGTGAGGCTGCCAGTTCGGACCACAAAGCAGCTGAAAAATATGTGCAGGAATTCAAGGAGTACATAGAAAGTGAAGGACTGAAACCTGAACAAGTGTTTAATTGTGATGAAACAGGCCTGTTTTGGAAGAAAATGTCAAGCAGGACCTACATTACTCAGGAGGAAAAGGCACCCCCAGGACATAAGCCTATGAAAGACAGGCTTACTTTGTTGATGTGTTCCAATGCTACTGGTGATTGCAAAGTGAAGCCTTTATTAGTGTATCACTCTGAAACTCCCAGACCGTTCAGGCAAAAGAATGTCCTCAAGGAGAATTTGTGTGTGCTGTGGAGGGCAAACAGTAAGGCATGGGTCACTAGGGACTTTTTCTATGACTGGTTACACCATGCATTTGCCCCATTGTGAAAGATTACCTAACTGAAAAGAAATTAGAACTTAAGTGCCTCTGGTGTTAGACATGCCCTGGTCATCCTACAGACATGGCAGAGCGACTTTATGGGGACATGAAATTCATTAAGGTGAAGTTTTTGCCTCCTAAACCCACTCCTCTCCTGCAGCCCATGGACCAGCAGGTTATTGCAAACTTCAAAAAACTGTACACAAAAGCTCTGTTTGAAAGGTGCTTTGTAGTGCCCCTCAGAAACTCAACTGACTCTAAGAGACTTTTGGAGAGATCACTTTAATTACCTCAATTGGGGTAAACCTTATAGGTAAGGCTTGGGAGGGGTGACTAAGAAGACCTTGAACTCTGCTTGGAAGAAACTGTGGCCAGAAATGTGTAGCAAAAAGGGATTTTGAAGGGTTTGGGCTAACCTGAAGGATTATGCCAGTTGAGGAATCCATTGGGGCTTTGGGGAAAAGTCCTTAGGGTTGGAGGTTAGTGGGGATGATGTGGAAGAGTTGGGGGGAGGAGGACAATGAAGAACTAACCACTGATGAGCTGATAGAAAAACTTCAACAGCAAGAGGCCAGCCCTGAGGAAACTGGTTCAGAGGAGGGGAGAGAGAAATTGAAGAAGTTGCCTACTACAAAGATTAAGGAAATCTGTGCAAAGTGGCTTGAAGTGCAAACCTTAAAGGATGAAAATCAACCCTCACACAGCTATTGCAAGCCGTTTTGGCAACCTGTACACTGAAATGTTGTGAAACACTTTAGGGAAGTCATAAAGGAACGAGAGGTACAGGCCACTATGGACAGATAGGGTTGTGCGACAGAAGTCCAGTGACTCTGAAGCTGGTCCTAGTGGCATTAAAAGAAGAAGGGAAGTAACGCCAGAAAAGGACTCGACACTTCAAGTCTTAATGGAAGGGGATTCCCTCTAAACACAAAACACTCTCTTCCCCTCCTCCCACCCCATAAATCATCACCAGATCTTCAATAAAAGTAAGTGTCATGTAATTGTGCTTTGCCTTTTTCAGTTTGGTGTATTTAAAATTAACATTTCTGTGGTAAAATTTTTTTTTTCATACTTTTGGGTGTCTTGTAGGGAAATTAAATTTTTGATTTCCATATTTCTTATGGGGGAAAATTCATTTGCCTACCAAAAATTTCGCATAACAACCAGCCTCTTGCACGGATTAAGGTCGTATGCGGGGGTCCACTGTATTTGGTTTCTTGTAGATTGGAGTGTGACTGAGTGGTAGAGGCATGCCTCTATAACTGCCTTCTCCACTGCCCCTACCACTGCCTCTATAACTGCCTCTATAACTGCCTCTTCACTGCCTCTACACAGCCTCTATAACTGCCTCTACCACTGCCTCTACCACTCCAGTCACACTCAATCTACAAGCACCAAACACAATGAATTTTTTGTGAATGTTTGGAAGAGCACGGAGACTAATACTCACTCCAGCATAAACAAAGTCACACTGACGATGTGTCAACCAATTCCTTCACCACTGCTTCAACCCTCGTATTTTTGTACAATTTCCTTCTTCAATTCTATCGTATTATTATTTAATTATTATTATTATTATTATTATTATTATTATTATTATTATTATTATTTTATTATTAGCAGTAGCAGAAATGTTTGATTCTTTGCTGTGTTCAAGGGGTAAACACATGAGTCACCTTCCAATACCTGTCTGAATAGCCATTCTAATATGCAGTCATGGATGGGTTTACATTATTTATACTGTAGTTTAATAGCAAATAATGATCAAACAAAACTCTCACCACACAGTGGTGGGAGGGCTGGCTGCCAGTTGTGGGGGTCGGAGGGAGGGTAGTAAGGACTCGTGGCGGTAAACTTAAATATGATTTGGAGGCTGGGAATTTGGCGGTTGGGAATTCACGAATGTGTGAAGC